GAACAACTGTGGATCGTAAACAGACATTTCATCATTAATCTGAAGTAAATTTTATTTCAAAATAAAACTTACTGAGTTCTCTGAGCATTGCTAACGAATTACAAAGAAAAAATTCTAGAAGGGAAAAAATCCAACCACCTCTAGATGGGTGTTTTCGTGATATCCATTTCGACGTTTAGCGCTAGTACCTTCATGTGAACCCGCACATCGTTTCCTATTCAGCTTCTGAAATTTCATCATAAAATCTGTGCAATAAAACTATTCTGTTTTGTGATGAAAATCAATCTGTAGTTGATTTTGAATACTTTAAAATCCGTGCATCTAATTCTGAGAACAAGAATTTTTTCAGGATTTTCTTCAACCAGTACATGAAGTAACAATTAGTTTGATCAACTTCTTCTGGGTTTAAAAAAAAATCGTCCTTTCAATCTACCGACCCGAAACGAGTGCAGAGCTGAAGATTCCATCAAAAATCGAATCGACAGCAAAAACTGCACTCCTTGATGACCCTGACAGCTGTCAGGTCAATGTACTATGAATTTATAGAATAAATTTTGATAGTATTGGACTATTTGATTAAAATCATCAAGGTTAGCTAAGAGGAAATAAACCCACCGCTTCTCCTTTGGTCCTATTCCCATTCAAGAGTTGACTGCCATTGTTGATAAATGCAGTAAGCAAAGAGGCGAAGTCCAACGGATCATTTGACGTCGACTCGTTGCTTGAATCATCATCTGGGCTCGTATCCTGAAATCATCTCCTGCATTATTTTTCCATCTCTACACATTTTTCAAGCTGCACATCGCCATCTCTGAGTCATACTCCTACAGAAAGCTTGCAGTGTCAGACGGAGACCGCAAAAACGTTGGAGGAAACGATGTGAGAGATGAGGGGAAACGCTGAGAGTCTCGACGTTTCGGATCCCTTTGTGCGTGGCGTCTTGGGGCCTTTCAAACGTCTCGGTCTTATCGTACAACACGAGACACTTCTAAGTGATCAGCGACAGGGTCGGGTCGACAAAGGCCGGCTGGTAGTAATAAGGATGATATTGTCTTACAATGTAGATAGTGATATAGGCCATAAATGCAAGAAGGGTCAATTAAAAACTTCAAGAGACTTTCTTCTGTTGTATAATGCTCTAACCCCCATCATCCTAAAAGATCTACAAAATGTTCCAATTCATCTACACTTGGTGCCCTCAACTCAATAGGCTCATCATGAAGTTACAAGAATGATACATCAGATTTGGCTGAAACGATTTGAGATAAAACCACAGGTTATCACATACATGTATACAAATAGATTCATTTTCGTTATTTCAAATCAGTTACTACAAATTCCCGGAGAAATTGCCTTTTTTCTGAACATAAGTCCCCATTTCAGACCTGATGCCCATTCTGCTCGCTCTCCTCGCAGTCTCACGAGAGAGGCTTGCGTGCCTGCGATCGACCTCGGCCGACGAGGTGGACAACGCCACCAAGCAACCGAATGAACCAAGCCACGCTAGCACATGGCGTTGGGTGCCAGCACGGTCATTCGAGCAGCTGTTCCTCTCGCATCACTGCGCGGTGGACACGGCTCGAACGACCGTCAAACCTATTTAGCGATGGGCGACGCCTTGTTGTTCCTCTTGAAATGTTTAGCAGAAGACATAAAGTAGTATAAGGGTTTCTTACAATCCATAACCTTTCCCAAACTGCTCCTCGAGAGAAAAGCTCTTCACACAAGGATAATGGCGGCGAGAATTCTATCTCATGACGAGCTC